ACCCCCCTGAGAAAGAGCTTTTCATAGTTACAAGGAAATGTAGTATCCTGATAAGCGTTAGCAGACAAAGCAGTTTCAAAGTTTGGCAAAGTATTTATTGCTGTAGAATGTTATCCAGTAGAATATGCTAATAAACACTGTAGGAACGGTGGTATATTCTAGCTGATTGTAGCAATAAGAAGAAGAATCAGGGCTTACAAATGCTATACATTTGCAGAGTACTATTATTTAAAATGGATTTTTAAAATAGATCCCGTAAGTATGGTATTTGATGAAATCATTTTTGGTGTTCCATGTTAACATTCATGCTGACTGAAGCCCTTCTTGTGACGGGACAGTTCATGTAGCAGTCTCCTTGAGTTTTAAGTGACTAAACATGGTAGTTTAAGGAAAGACTGTCTTATTATTTTTCTAACAAGAATTCTTACTATTTTAATAGGAAGATGATTCTTAAATAGCATAATTCTTAACTCATCAGTGTCCTCCAGAGGCAGCCTATGGCTCTATCAGATTGACTCAAAATTAACCATCATATCTTCCTTTAGTAAACTTTTCCCCTTCTGCATTTTTCTACAGATAGATACACCAGCAGGAATGGAATTACACTCTTGGTATCCTGTTATAAAGCAGGAAGGTGACCATGTTTCTCAGACACATTCATTTTTACACCCCAGGTGAGTGGGTATTGGCTCATTGATTCATTCATTCATTCGTTCAACCTCTATACATCAGGTACTATTCTAGGTCCTGGGAATTTATTATATATTTTTAGGCTTTCTTTCTAATCAGTGAAATGAATTATAAATTGTGTTGCATATTTGAAATAACCTTTTCTGTGTGTTTCTATGTTTTTCTAAAAATAGATCATTTCCTTTTTGCCCCAAAGTGAAAAAAATGAAAGCTTTCTTTTAATTTCCTTACTTCCCTTCAAGAGATAAACCAACTCTTCAAGAGTGTGGTGTACAACTTTGATATTTTAAAAAGAAACTTTTTGAAACTTAGAAGTTTTCATAGTAACAATACCCCTCAAAATGAATTTTCATATTTTCAATAAAAATATACCATGGATTATAAACTTTTAATTTATTGAACCTAAATTTTTAATCTGCTGCTGTACCTGTATATTCTCCCCAAGCACAGTGATGATGAATCTCAGTTTTACAGTTCCTTCTAGTCCTGTTGTGTTTGAAGTAAGTCTTTGGGCAGTATTAAGCTTGTCAGTTTTCTTAGCAGAATACTGAGTTTTCATCCTCAGAATTCATGTGATTAGTAGAGAGGAAAAATACAGATGTCCTGTACAAAGAAAATGTGATATAAGAGATTATTTAGAGTTCAGAGAATGAAGTGTTAGGTCAGTTAAATGGTTGCGTCTTTTGGCTAAAGGATAAGCAGATTATAGTTAGTAAAATGGTATTTACATGTCTAGCTCAAATTTGTTCCATGAGTCTCTCACATAATTTCCTGAACAATTTTATGTGAGCTGTGAGCAAAATGGGTAGTTACCCTTTGATCTTAGTTTTGCACAATTTATTATTGCTGTTTTATCAAATAAATAGGCAATACCACAGTGTTTTCAGAAGATTGCTCTGTGGGGTTTGATCCACAGAGGACTGCCCAGTAGCTGGATAGCATTCAGAATGCTAGTTCTTTCCCTGAGCTATCTAAGAAGGGCCCTGGGAGCTCCTCACTGGGGCTGCGGTGAATCAGGCCATAGCCATGCAATGTGGGACTGAATCAGCCTCACCATCACAAAGAACAGGACTTCCTTGCTTTGGAGGGGTGGCGGATGAGGAAATAGTCCTCCAAAGTAGTATATGGTCTGTTTTCTTTTTGGCATAAACCTTACCTACTCAGGGCTGTTGAATCACTCTGTAAAGATACTTCATGGTTTTCATTCTCATGTGATTTTGAGGGAAAGAGAAGAGACTGATTTTCTTTTCCAGAGAGTATCTTCTTAGTGCTCAGAAATTACTTTTTGTAAAACAACAAAAATATCTTAATAACTTGTGTTCTTTCTGCCTCAACTACTAACTTTTTCAAGAATTCTTTTCTGTGACCCTTATTTTCTGAGTTGTTATGTTATCTCTTTTGGTAAAAAAAAAAAAGTTTAACCATAGAAATAGATGTAATATATTTTGCTTTTTACCTAAATGTAATATGTATCTTATTTTGCCATTCTTTGTTTTCAGCTACTACTTATACATGTGTGATAAAGTGGTTGCCCCAAATGTGTCGCTTACTTCTGCTGCATCCCAGACTAAAGAGGTCACAAAGACAGAGGCAAGCAGATCCATACCAAGACAGTCAGAGAAGCCACACAGTAGTGGGAAACATCAAAGAACAGTGTCGTATCCAGATGTCTCACTGGAGGAACAGGAGAAAATGGATTTAAAAACAAATAGAGAATCATATAGTCACTTAGGTAAGTATTCAGAATTTACCTTTTAAAATTTATCTAATTTATCTAATAGACACATTTTTTTCAGCACTTTCAAAGAGCATTTCTGTTTAGGAGAATTTTCCAGGTAATTAAAGATTTTGTCTTTAAAAAAATACCATGTTTCGAAACTCTTGAGTGACTCTGTGGAAGCTCAGCTGTTCTACTAGCATGGTGATAGCTGTAGAGGCTAATGAGATAGATACACAGGCTAGATGGCTGCATACTGCAAGTGGCTTCTGTCTGATTATTTTTGATTCTTCCAGCCTTTTCTTTGCTGTCAGATTTCTTCAGAAGGTCCTTATTTTCTGTCCAATTTGCTATGAACTGAGAACCCATTTAACTGATAATATAAGAAGTATATGACAATCTATAAAAATACTGAATCACTATGTTATACACCTGAAAATAATGTAATATTGTAAATTATCCTTCAATTTAAAAAAGAGAGAAGGGTATATAAGAGCAGTTAAGTATAGGACTCAGGGAAACTTGGTTATGAAATAAGCAAGGATTGAAAACTCACAGCCGTGGGAGCCAGGCTATTCGGCATAAATGCAGAATGCCTGCTGGACATCAAAAAACAAAAACAAAAAACTGTGTATTTACAGTGCCTTTTAAAATACCGTGGACCAAACAAGACATGTCTGCTCACATGCTGCCTGTGCTACCCTCTACGTAGCTGCAAAACTTTGTGTATAGCTTGGGCAAGTGTAACAGCTCTTTCAGCTTTCTTGGAACAGCTTTCTCAGAACAGTCATGTAACTGTTTTTGTAGATGATTGAGATTCTTGGGAGTGGGTTTCTGTACTTTAATTTTGAGATTTTCTAAAACTTAATTTCCCTTAGATTTAAATATGTCAAATAATAATTAGTAATGTACCATTATGCCATGTTTCCATTATATTTGCCAAATTATCTAATTCTAGTGACTTAAAAAATTGTTGATTATAATTCATATACCATAAAACTTACCCTTTTAGAGTGTACAATTCAGTGGTTTTTAGTAAATTCACAGAGTTGTGCAATGATCACAACGTTTAGTTTCAGAACATTTCATCACCCACAAAAGAAAACCTGTAATCCAGTAGAAGTTATTCTCCATTCTCCCTTTTCCCTAGCCTCTGTCAACCACTAATACATTTTCTGTTTTTATGGGTTTGTCTGTTTTGGACATTTCTTGTAAGAGAGATCATACAACATGTGGCCTTTTGTCTAGCTTCTTTCACTAAACATAGTATTTTCTCAGTCCATGTTTTAGCATGTGTTAGTACTTCTTCCCTTTTTATGGCTTAGTAACATTCTGTTGTATGGATGGATATACTACATTTTGTTTATCCATTCATCAGTTGATGGACATTTGGATGTACACTTTTCGGCTGTTATGACTAATGCTGTTTTGAAGACTTATGCACAAGTTTAATGTGGACATAGGTTTTCATTTCTCTTGGGTATATATTTAGGAGTGGAATTGCTAGATCATATGGTAACTCTATGTTTAATGTCTTAAGGGACTGCCAGACTATTTTCCAAAGCTGTTGCACCATTTTCATTTCTACCAGCAGCTTCTCAGGATTCTAATTTTTGCACATTTTTGCTAACACTTGTTATTGTTTGTCTTTGATTATAGCCATTCTAGTAGTTGTTAAGTGGTATCTCATAGTTTTGATTTGCAATTCTCCAGTGACTAATGATAATGAGTATCTTTTCATGCTTTTATTGAACATTTCAAATCTTTGGAAAAGTGCCTATTGAGATCTTTTGCCTATTTTTAAGTAGGGTTATTTGTCTCTTTACTATTGAGTTATAGGAGTTCTTTATTCATTCTGGGTACTAGACCCTTATCTACATGATATGCCATTCTGTCAATTGCCTTTTCACTTCCTTGTTAGTGTCCTTTGAAGAACAAAAGTTTTAGATTCTGATGGAGTCCAGTTTAGTTTTTCTTTGGTTGCTTACTTTAGGTGTCATGTCTAAGAAACCATTGCCTAGTTCAAGCTTACAAAGATTTACAGTTAAGAGTTTTGGCTCTTACATTTAAGTCTGTGATCCATTTTGAGTTAATTTTTATGTAAGGTATGAACTTCAACCTCATTCTCTGTATATAGGTACAGTTGTCCCAACACTGTTGAAAAGACTGCTCTTTTCCAATTGAACTGTGTTGGCACCATTGTTGAAAACCAGTTGCCCATAAAAGTATGAGTTTATTTCTGGACTCAGTCCTTATGCCAGTACTACACACAGTTTTGATTTCTGTAGCTTTGTAATGAGCTTTCAAATTGGAGATTGTGAGTCCTCCAACTTTATTGTTCTTTTTCAAGATTGTTTTGGCTATTTTGGGTTCCTTTTATTTCCATATGAGTTTTAGAATCCGCTTGTCTATTTCTGCCATGAAGCCAGTTGGGATTTTGATAGAGATTGCACTAAAACCATAGATCAGATTGGGGGTGTTTTACCATTTATCATTGTCCATTTGGGCTGCTATAACAAAAATACCATAGATTGAGTGGCTGACACCACAAACATTTATTTTTCACAGTCTAGAGGCTGGGAAGTCCAATATCAAGGCACCAACAGATTTGGTCTGGCAAGGACCTGCTTCCTGGTTCATAGATGGCTGTCTTTTCACTGTCTTCTGCGTGGTTAAATGGTAGAGCTCTCTGAAACCTCTTTTTAAGGTCATAAATCCCATGATGGGGGCTCTTATGACCCTTGTGACCTAATTACCTCCCAAAGGCCCCACCTCCTAATACCATCACATTGGGGGTTACGATTTCAATATGTGAATTTTGAAAGTCACTGACATTCAGATCATGATAGCATCTTAACAATATTAAGTCTTCCAGTCCACGAACATGGGATGCCTTTCCATTTTTTAGTCTTTTATTTCTTTAAATGATGTTTTATAGTTTTCATTGTACATGTTTTATACTGCTTTTGTTAAATTCATTCCTAAGTATTTTATTATCTTTTATTTTATTTGTAAGTCGGGTTATCGTCTTAATTTCATTTATGGATTGTTCAAGTTACTTTTTAACAGAGTGATATTAATACTCTTACTTCATTTTTGCCTCTCAAAGATCCATCAGTTTCAAGTAATTCTACAAGTAAAAAGAAACCTGAGTCTACCACCTGCAACTCAACCAGGGACACAAGCAAGGTGGGAGCTGACCATGATGCTGTAGCTTCATCTCCAGTTCTTGTCAAAGATGTCATTTGTGAGGATGATAAGGGAAAAATCATGGAGGAAGTAATGAAAACTTACGTAAAACAACAGGAAAAACTGAACTCAATTCTACAGAAGAAGCAACAACTTCAGATGGTAAAATTGTTATCTAAATAATAGTCCATTGTGAAAAGATACTTCTGCATTTTTTTTTTTTTTGAGTAGCTGCTTTATTTCCAAAAGAAGTAATTTTTAGCATGGAAAGTGGAAAGTGGAGTAAGATGAATGGATTGGTTTTTATTTTTATCTCTATTTTTTTACATTTTTTATTGATTCATAATCATTTTACAGTGTTGTGTCAAATTCCAGTGTTCAGCACAATTTTTCAGTCATTCATGGACATATACACACTCATTGTCACATTTTTTTCTCTGTGATTTATCATAACATTTTGTGTATATTTCCCTGTGCTATACAGTGTACTTCTGCATATTCTTAAGAAAAGTCGTGATAACATGCTGCAAATGTATTTAAGATTATTTAGTTTTACGTTCATCAGAAAGATTAATATACTTTTAAATCTTTAGAGAAAATAATTTTTCAAGATAATTACTAGAATTGATATGACAGTGGAATTTTAGATTTTTTCTGCCCTGTTCTTTCCTGACTTGAAAATTTTAACATGATGGAAGTAAAGTAAAAATTGTATTGTGATTCTTTAAATTACAGGAAGTTGAAATGTTGAGTAGTTCAAAAGCTATGAAGGAGCTCACTGAAGAACAGCAGAATTTACAGAAAGAGCTTGAATCTTTGCAGAATGAACATGCTCATAAAATGGAAGAATTTTATGTTGAACAGAAGGACTTAGAGAAAAAATTGGAGCAGGTAATGAAGCAGAAATGTACCTGTGACTCAAATTTAGAAAAAGATAAAGAGGCTGAATATGCAGCGCAGGTAAGAATTACTCAGTTTATATAGTGTTGCCCTTTCAGTGTGGAAATTGAAGCTGTTACTTTACTCATTAAAGAAATTACTTTTTTTCAAGCTTGTTTCATTAGACTAGATTTCAAAATAGAGACTTCCATTAAATACAACTTAATGCTGTATCATCTAAGATGATTTTTTTGAACTTGATTGCTTTATTGCTTTAAAATTTTATGGGTTTCTGAATTGAGTTGTCTAAATCTCTAGCTGTCTGAATGTCAAATGTTATATGATTTTAATGTAGTATATGGGCTTTCAAATCAATGAATTAACAACCATGAACTGTTGCCCACTGTGTTCACAAGCCCTGGAGCAAAAATGAACTCACAACTTGGGGGAGATGAACAAATAACTCAGTGTGAGCAGACTGTGATGAGAGGGGTACTGATGAGTTAGGGCATCGTGAACGTGCTCTAGGTTCAGTTCTCTTGACCCTTTGTTTTTCCCTCACTTTAAGGTTCTGTCAAAGTCAGATTAATAGTATTAGATGTTCAGGAGATTGCAGTATATATAAAATAGCTCATTTTGTAAAAAGTAATTTGAAAGTAGATCTTTGCCATGATGTGAGGAGTAAATGGAAAAACAAAACTAAGTGAAAACTGACCCACTCTTTTAAATCACACAGCTGGCAGAACTGAGACAGAGATTGGACCATGCAGAGGCTGATAGGCAAGAACTCCAGGATGAACTCAGACAGGAACGGGAGGCAAGACAGAAATTAGAGATGATGATAAAAGAATTAAAGCTGCAAATTTTGAAATCATCAAAGACTGTTAAAGAATAGAAATCTTTAAAGAGATTCATCTGTGTATTCCCAACAGGGTTTATTTTTGTTTGTTTGTTTGCTTGGTCATTGAATTCTGAACAATTTATCTGCATGAAATAACTAGGCATTCTATCCATTTGTAGGTCAGAGAAAGTGAAGAGATTATATATTGGTACATCAATTTTTACATTTTCCAAATGAATGAAAGTGTACGTTTCTTTGTACTTTTTTTCAACTAGCTTAGTAACAGTACTATATGATTTCAACTATAATATTATCTGCCTATATTCCTAATGCAAATTTAGCAGTTGCATACTTTTTAAAAGCTGCATTGTGTGGTGGAAAATAGTTGTGGTCAGTTTTATTATCCATATTTCAGACTCAGTTTTAGATACAATGGCGGCTTCATATTTCATCTATAGAGCCACTCAAGGAGTTGAATCTCCATGTTTTTTATTAATACAGTCTCCTGTCTAAGTTGATGTAGTATACTCATTATTATAATCAAAATTTGCTTTTGTTAATGTTGTGGAATGAATTTCCACTGATTCTCTTCTATTTAATGTCTCCTGAGAGACATTTTGTCCATAGAGGGTTATAGCACACCCCATGGGGAAGGATTATATGCTTTCTTACACACTGCTGCTAAACACAAGAAGCAGTTATAATTAGCTTTTTTTGTTTAAATGGGGTTATATTTAGAAAAAAAATTTTTATGCAGCAACATCAGAAGAGGGAATAAAATGTAATAATTTTTGAGCTTCTGTTTATGTTGTTAATAGTGGTGTGAGAATATTAATGTACTTGAGAAAAACTGATAACATTGATGTGTATCAGTTTCTATACAATCCATAATCCTCCTGTACAGTTTTTATATGTAGTTATGGGTCTTACTACAATTTATATAATGGATTTGTTTTCCTTAATGGATTTGTTTTCCTTTAAATTGTAAAATATTAAACACCTTGAAGATTATTTTGGACTTTTGTATGTTTAAATGTCAAGTCTTAACCAAAATTTGCACGAATGGACCATTTTCAGTTACTATTTAATATCAAAATGAGGAATTTACAGTCAGCTGGTAGTGTATGATAGGTTGATATAGGGAAGTTTAGTTATTGCTACTAAAAGATTTTTAGATAATTTTTAGAAGATAAAGGAATTCCATAGTTTGGGGGAGGGGCAACTTCTGCACTTTTTTTTTTTTTTTTTTGCACAGAAAGCCTGTCATTCTTTTAATAGCAAATTTCATATTACTTAAATCTTGGCTTAACAGATACTAGGTAAAATTCTTAGTATGTATTTTTTAAAAGATGTTTCCAGAATCTGCCATTAATTGACATTATTATCCTATGAATTTCATGTTTATATTCTCATGTAAGGTATTGTATGAAATAACTTGAGACCTAAATTTGTTTTTAAAATAATTCAGCTAGGATTAAGATTATTTACTATTCCCACCATAGGTGATGGATACTCTAATGATACAGAACTTCAAAAATAAAGATCTTATCATTTAACCAGTTATTTTCATATTTTGCTTAATGGTACTTAATATATCCTAAAAGAATTTTTATACTTCTAGAAGTATAGTTTCTTCACTTGAGTGTGGTCTAAATGTTTATTTTCTATTTTCCATTCAAATTTTACTATATTAACCCTGCAGTTTACTTTGCTGATTATTGGAACCTACTCAAGGAGGAACACATGTCTAAAATGACATACAGGAACAAATACTAAAAGTGACTTGCCCTCCTAATGCCTCTTATTTATCTTTTTCTGGAGAAAGAAAAATCACAAAGACATTTTATGACATAGTTTCATTTTAGTTGTAAATTAGCTGTGTCATAGCTCAGCTTTTTGGGAGACAAAACTCAAGGCCCTGTAATTTCATTTATTTTTCTGATTCACTCAAAATCTACTTATGTTACTTAGTTTAAATAATTAGCTTACCTATGTTTTAACTCAAAACTTGCTAAAATAAATTGCCTAATCTTTGAAAATATGTTATTTGAGAATTCTAAGCAGTGCTTAATCACTTTTAAATTTCATAAACTCTTAGTTTAAAATTGAGTAAAGAACTGCTTTTTCTAATCCTTCACATAAGGGAAACTTGCCACATGAAATTGTATAGTCTTTATTTTCCAGAAGCTACATTGATGTGCCATAGGTTTCTGTCTAACTTCTTTGAAAATAGTTTTTTTAGTCAATTGTAAATATTATGCCTATTCTAGTTAAAAGTCATTTTAAGTTAAACTTGTACCACATAGCTTGAAACTATTGAGATTTTGTAATACTTTACAAGTGGCCTCTGCTTAAAATACCCGTATAAACTTACTCTTATTCTTGGCATGCTCATTTTGTGTGTTGGTTGCTAGCCTGAAGTTTGTTTTGGTGTTAGTTGTTTTGGTGTTAGTTTTTGTGTGCCAATTCATCAGGAAAGCAGATTTTCCCTCAGACTTTATAATGTTATTCTTTGTAGGAAAAATACAAAAATACTTACTTTAAAAACCTGTGTTAAAGGAATGGCCTATCAAGAGTGCTAGAGCATCTTTAAAAAGAAGAAAAGATAGAATATTAGTTTACTGGGTGATAAGTGATGTTTAATTTGGGTGACGACAGTTTCTATACTCTAAACTTCATGAGAAGAAGGTACCAAATCTATAGAAACATAAAACCTGCTGTCATTGAGAAAGCTCTAAACCACCCTGATATCACAAATACAACTTAGGACACTATCAAAGGATTTGACCAACAATGTAATTTTGGCTTGTGCTTTAGTTTTGTAAAGCATATTCTTTTGCTTTTGAATTTCTGTGTCCAGAAGAGTTGGGATGTTTTATGCTTCTTGAACTAATTTTATAACAAATTTAATACATTACCAATTGAGATATAAAATCATTTGTACATATTGAATTAAAAATCAGTTACTAAATAATAGACTGAGTACAATGATACTTGCAGGTTATCCATATATTTTAGAAGTCATGACAGAATAGCCAATTTATTTGCACATCTATGGCTTCTGTTTGAAGGAAAGTAAAATGATAAGGCAACTCGAGTAACAGAAAACATGCTTTATTTCCCTGAAAGTAATAGGAAAGCTGGTGCTGAAGGTTTTTGATCAGTTTCTAAAATTTTCTTGTCCATGACTTATGTTTTGATTGCTTAGGGAAGAATCCTCGTTTTTATTTGCTCTTATACATTTAATCTGCGTGACAGGACATTAAAAATTAATATAATGGAAAGTTGTGCTCATACTGTACATCTATTTCTGTGCTTGAAACTACTTATTAGTTTTTATTGAAACTGTCAGCAATAAGGGACACATTACTGCTGTATTATAAATTGTGGGATTGAATAATTTAAACAGCTTAAATTTATTTCTATTATTGGAAGAAATTCATATGGGTAGTCTATATTGCATCTTGTTTAAAAGGACAGTTTTTTTTTCTTTTGTAAAATCTTCCCATTTTCAATGGTTTCTAAATTACATAATGCAATTTGGAGCTTGTTTCTTTAGTGATAGACTTACATGTCTTATATAGTGCTACTGTTTTTGAATTAAAGTGAACAAATGTAAAAATTGAAATTTAAAAATTAAGCCCAGAAAACAAAATAGTGTATTAAGTTGGTTGAATGTAAAGAAATTTATAAAGTTTTTTCTTCAATATAGATACCTCACTTGAAAATAAAGCACAGCATACTTAAAGTAGTTCTAGTGAAAAAAAATCCTACTAAAAGAATTGCTAAATCTTGAACAACTTTTGGGGAATTATAGTTTGGAAGAAATAAAATATATTTGCTTTTAACCATCCTATTAGAAGTATTTATTTATCCTGATAATTCTAAGCCAACACAGTAGTCTTAAATTATTTCTGAAGTTCTAATCTGTGAACGCGGTAAATGAAAGATCTGTTGTGCAACTATTGACACAAATTGTTGACTACATTGACCATAATTCAATTTAAAATTTTGCCAATGATGTACAGTTTTATGGTTAAAATTGCTGTGGTTGGTTGCATTACATGACACACAAAACTGTCCTCTACCTCACGTGAAATAAATATTTTATATGGTTTTACTATAAAACAAGACTCATCTATCTGGTCAGTTAGTTTACAAATTTTGAATTATATTTATTGAAACATGACATACTGTGCTCTTAGCTTATACCTCAATTGTATTTTGTGCTGTTTTCCATTTTCATGCCTTGTAAATAACTTGTATAGATTGTGGATTAAATTCCAAATAAAAACTTTTAATGCCAATGGAATTGATTCAAGCCATCTTGGTATCCTGTGTGAGCTCAACTTTCTTATTTCTTAAGATTGACATTTTCTCCTTTTGTTCCTTTAAAGTCTTACACAGCAAGTGACTAACTTGAGAAACTTCAGTAAATTGTAAAATGTGAAATTTTAGGTGATGAACATACTGGCATTTTGTGATTATTCTTCATCATGATACTTGGACTCTTGCTTTAACATCTTTTCCTCACCCCCATCTCTGGTGTTAGTTATCAATTACTGCATTAAAAAATTCCAAAATTTAGGAGCTTAAAACAACAGTTTCCTCATAGTATCTGAGGATCAGAAATCCAGAGTCAGGGTAGTTGAACACGATGGTTCAGGAGCTCTTAGGTGGGTACATTTAAGGTGTTACCTGAGGCTGAAATCATATGACTGACAGCTGTAGGATCTGCTTCCCAGCTCACTCACAGGGCTATTGACAGGTGCTCAGCCCTTCACTGTATGGACCTGTCCTTGGATCTCTTTACAACTTAGTGGATGGCTTCCCCCAAATGAATGATCCAAAGAAGAGTGATGCCACAATTTATTTTATGACCTAGACTCTTTAGTCATATACTGTTACTTTTTCCTTATCCTGTTTGTAAGAAGTAAGTCACTGAGTCCAGCCCATGCTCAACTGGCGATTTTTGAATATAAGGAGGCAAGGATCACTGGGGGCTATCTTAGAATTTAGTTGCCATATCCTCTAAATTTCCTTTTGTTTGTGGCAAAATATACATAACATAAAATTTACTATTTTAACCATTTTAAAATGTATAATTCAGGGGCATAAAGTACATTACAGAATGTTGTGTAACTGTCACCACTATATCAAGAACTTTTTCACTATCCCAAACAGAAACTCTATCTGTTAAGCATAACTCCCTATTCCCTCTCCCTCTAGCCCTTGATATCCTCTTACTTTCTCTTTATGAATTTGCCTATTCTGGGTACTTCACATAAGTGGAATAAAAATATTTGTCATTTTGTGTCTAACTTTGCACTGTTTCACTTAGCATGATGTTTACATCCATGTTGTAACATGTATCAATTTCATTCTTTTTATGACTGAATAATATGCCATTGTGTATGTATGTACACACACACACACACACATTCAAAGAAATGTTTATCCAAGTCCTTTGCTCATTTTTAAGTTGAGATGTTTACTATTTTCTCCCATTCTTTAGGTTGTCTTTTCACTCTAATAGTGTCCTTTGATGCACAAAAGTTTTTTTTTTAATTTTAAATTTAATTTAATGTGTTTTGGAGGGGGGTAGTTAGTTTTATTTATTTATTTAATTTTAGATGGCATACTGGAGATTGAACCCAGGACCTCATGCATGCTAAGCACGTACTCTGCCACTTGAGCTATACCCTCCCCTCTGATGCACAAAAGTTTTAAATTTTGATCAAGTCCAACTTACCTATTTTTTCTTTCGTTGTCTGTACTTTTTGGTGGTATATCCAAGAAACCATTGCCAAAATCCAGTGTCATGAAGCTTTTCACATGTTTTCTCCTAAGAGTGTTATATTTTTAGCTCTTACTGGAATTGTTTTCTTAGTTTCCGTTTCAGATTGTTCATTGCCAATGTGTAGAAAATGCAATTGATTTTGCAGTGTTGACTTTGTATCCTGGAACTTTGCTAAATTTATTTATTAGCTGAGAGCTATTTTTGTGTGTGTGAAGTCTTTAAGAGTTTCTATGTATAAGATCACATCATTTGTGAATACGGGTAATTTTACTTCTTTTCCAATTTGGATGCTTTTTATTTCTTTTTCTTGCCTAATTGCTCTAGCTAGAACCTCTGATGCTATATGAATAGAAGTGGTGAAATCAGGTGTCCTTGTTTTGTTCTTAATCTTAGAGGGAAAGCTTTCAGTCTTTTACATTTGAGTATTATGTTAGCTGGGGTTTTTTCACATATGGCCTATTTATCATGTTGAAGAAGTTCTCTTCTGAACTTTTTTTTTTTACAATGAGGTAGCGTTGAATTTTGTTAAATGATTTTTCTGTATCAATTGAGATGATAATGTAGTTTTTTCCTTCATGTTGCTGCTATGATGTATTACATTGCTTGGTTTTCATAAGTTAACTATCTTTTGCATTCCAAGAATAAATCCTACTTGCTCATGGTATCTAATCCTTTTAATATGCTGTTGTTTGTTTATTTATTTGAAATGCATTTGACATATAACATTCTATAAATTTAAGGTATACAACATGTTTGATTTCATACATTTATATATAGTCTAATACGCTGAATTTGGTTTGCCAAGATTTTGTTGAGGATGTTTGCATCTATATTCCTAAGGGATATTGGTCTCTAGGTTTTGTTTGTTTTGCAATGTCTTTGGTGTTGATATGAGATTAATCCTGGCTTCATAGAATGAGCTAGAAAGGGTTCTCTTTGCTTTGATTTTTTAGGAAAAGTTTGAGAAGGACTGGTCTTACTTCTTTTAATATTTGGTAGACCTCAGCAGTGAAGCCATCTGGTCCTGGGCTTTTCTTTGTTTGGAGGTTTTTGATTACAGACTTAATCTCTTTACTAGTTACAGGTTTACCTATTTACTATTTCTTCATGAGTCGCTTTTGGTAGATTGTGTATTTCTAAGAATTTATCAACTTCATATAGGTTATCTAATTTGATGGCTCATGGTATTCTCTTAAAATCCTTTTTATTTCTGTAAAATAGGTTAATATGGTCCTATTTTCATTTCTGATTTTAGGAATTTTTGAGTCTTTTTCCCCAAGTGTATCTAAGTGTCAATTTTGTTGATATTTTCATAGAATCAACTTTTGATTTCATTAATTTTCTCTCTTGTTTTTATATTCTTTATTTCCACTCTAATCTTTATTAGTTCCTTCTACAAGTTTTGAGTTTAGTTTACTCTTCTTTTTCTAGGTTCCTCAAGGTTTACAGTTTGATTATTGATATGAGATCTTTTTTAGTGGATGCCTTTATAGCTATAAATTTCCATCTTGGAAAATAAAACATAGTTACAAAGTAAAATTGCAATAATACTGGCTTTCATATTTGCCCATGTATTCACCTTTCTTCGAGATTTTTATTTCTTCTTACAGCTTCAGGTTATTGTCTTGTGTCCTTTGTTTCAATCTAAAGGATTCTCTTTAACATTTCTTGTAGAGTAGGTCTAGTGGAAGTCAGCATTTAGTTATCTGGTAATGTCTTAATTTCTCCCTCATTTTGGAAGGACAGTTTTGCCAGATATAAATTTCTTGGTTGAAAGTTCTTTCTTTCAGCACTTTACATCATTCCACTGACTTCTAGTCTTCAAAGTTTCTGCTGAGCAGTCTGCTGGTAATCTTATTAAGGATTCCATATTCAGGAGTCACTTCTCCAGCTGCTTTCAAAATTCTCCCTTTGTCTTTCAGCAGTTTAATTATAACGTTTCTTGGTGTGGGAGTTTATGTGCAGTTCACTGAGCTGCTTAGATTTGTAGATTCAGGTGTTTTATCATATCTGCAAAGTTTTCATATTATTTCTTCAACGAATCTTCAAATAATCTCCCCTTTCTTCTTTAGGACTCCCATAATGCTTCAGAATTTCTGTTTGGTTTGCTTTTATAATTTCTATCTCTTTTACTGATATTCTTATTTAGTCTGTAAATTGCTTTCCTGATTTCCTTTAGTTCTTTGTTCAGATTTTTCTTTAGTTTTTCTGAGCATATTCAGTATGGTTGTTTTGAAGTCTTTGTCTAGCAAATCCAATAACTGGGCTTTTTCAAGGGTGGTTTCTGTCAATTTGTTTGTTCCTTGGAATGTATTATATTTTTTCTTTCTTTGTATGCCTTGTGATATTTTTTGTTGTTGAAAATTAAGCTTTTGACAATTATAATGTAACTTGGGAAATCAGATTTACCCTCTTCACCAGGGTTTGCTGTTTGTTAAAAAAATTATTATTGCTGAAGGTTGTGGTAGTTTATTTGCTTTGAGATTTTTTCCACACTGTTTTGCAAAGACTATTCCTTATTGTGTGTGGTCATAGAATTGTCTGTTCCTTTAGCTCATGTTCAGCTAATATTTTGACAGATTCCTTGAATGCCAGGAGCTAAACAAACAAAACAACAAAAACTCACACAAAAAAATTTAAAGAAGAGAAGCAGAAAAGCAAAAAAATCCAATTACTTCTTCCAGTCTTTGTAGCTTGGTTTTGTGTTAAGACACTCCTTTAGTACTTAGGTAGGCTTACTCTGATCCTAGGAATCAGCCCACAGTAAAAACTTAAGACCTTTTCAGATCTTTTCTGGGTACACATCTTGCCTGGGCATGTATGTAGTTTTCTAAATCCCCCCTATAGAGAGCTGCTTTTGAATGCCCTAACTTCTTGAAGAATTTTATCTAAACTCGCCTCCAGTTCTTAGACAGTCTATTGGTTGTTTCCACCTATAATCTCTTGTCCCAGGCATCTGCGAGTCTGTAATTTTTTACAAGCAGTGTCTACTGCTTTCTCCATCTAAGTTCCAAGCTGGGTGAACTGAAGATGAGAGTCTTGTGTTGTTAGTTCAAGTATGCCCCAGACAGGTCAGAACAGATGTACTGATGATTTTCAAGTAAGCTCTGTTCTATTCCCTCTTGTTCAAGGGAGGAAACTGGGCTGCTGCTGCTTCAGCCTCAAAACTGCTGCTGCACTGGAGTAGGGAGGCAAAAGTGTGAATAAAAATGCCCCCAAACTTTCCTGTTATTTTGAAGATTCTCCCTTCCTTCCTTCCTCTTTCTTTCTTCCTTCCTTTCTTTCCCTTCCTTCCTACCTTCCTTCCTTCCTTTCTTTCTCTCTCTCTCTCTTTCTCTCTTTCTTTCTTTCTGTGAGAGTAGGAACTGTGTCTATCTTTGCTTATTACTGTGTTCCAAGTACTGAGTAGGCTTTCTAGGCCATAGCAAATACTGAAACAATCTGGTGGATAAATTAGTGGATCCCTACATTGAGAATGACTGATCTTACTTGTGTGGTATTTATATGCTTGGTTTAACTCAGACA